GCCTGCACCGGGGAATCCCCGAGGGTGGTCCTCACCACGCAGGGCCACCCAGCAGAAGCAGAGGCCCAGGCAACGGCCGCTCCTTACAAAAAAAGACAGCCAGGCCTTTCCTCCACAGAGCGGCTGTGGGCTCAACAGCCAGCCCCTCAGCTCGGCAGCCGAGCGCACCCTACACTTTACCCTGAGGACGGCCAACCCGGGGTCAGCAGACGCTAGAGACAGAGGGGACAGTCCTGCCCCTCACAAGTTAAAGTTAGTCCAGCATTCTTGTAAAACTGAGCTAACAGATGTAAAAATATGTATATTTGCACATTCAAGTGAAACCACCATTATCTAAATCACACCCTGTCTTTAAGACTCTTCCAGTTTTCAGAGCCACGTATCTGGAGTGAAAAAGCTGCATGTGGCCCAAGAGCCACGGTGTGCCGCGCCTGGGCGGGCAGGCAAAGGCTTCTCACTGTGGGGTGTGTGTGGGGGGTGGGGAGGGCGTGTCCAGACACTGTTTTTCTGGAGGAACCAGCTGGCCAAATCCATTGGGAACCTGGCTCAGGGCTCAGCCACTGCGCTGCCATGGCCTCCTTTCCAGGAAGCTGGCCTGGCTATCCTCAGACCAGAAGGGACTCCCGACCCGGAAACGGCGAGGGAAGGTCAGGTCGCTGTGGGTCCTCATTCTCCAGCTCCTCGGCGGTCCGGTACAGAGACTTGGGGACCAGCCCGCCCTCTGTTCTCTTCCAAGTCCTGGGGCGCCTTCTGCGCCGCCCCGGGGGCCGGGCCAGAGTCCAGCGAAGGTCTTGAGCAGCAGGGGCGGGTGAAGGCGGGCACAGCTCGTGGGCTGGCTTCCACTCCCCGTGAGCAGGTGGGCCCCTCTTGGAGCAGGGTGCGAGGGCCCCTCGCTACTGGACAATCAAACAATTGGTGGAGTTTTGCTTGGAAAATTTTTTGCATCAAAAGGTGAGACCGAGGGCCTCTGCCGGGGTCCGTAAACTAAGTCTTCTCTCAGGGAGCCTTCCTGCTGCTGGGTCTCGTGCCCACGGGACACGGATCTATGGCTATCACGTGAGTCGGGCTGGAGTGAGAACCTCCTGGGAGGCCGTCTCAGGTCACGATGGCCAGGGCACCACCGAGAGCGGGCGTGCTACCTGAGGCGCAGTGGGAGCCTCCCACCGGCCCGCCCTGAGCGGCCTCGCTGCATCACTACCTGGAGACCATGGAGCTGGAGTGGGACTGGCTGGATGAGGTGGTGGCCGCGCTCAGCTGCGAGAACCCACTGTGGCTGGACTCTAGGCTGGTCATGGAGCCCCTGAAACAACCGGGAGGGTCAGCCCACCCCCACGGCCTCGGAGACAACCTGTGCCCCCTTGCCGTGGTGGCTCGACGCAGACGCCATGGGGAAGGGCTCCCTGCCTTCCACAGAGCCCGTCGCCCTCCCACCACTTGTGCCAGCACAGGCCAGCGAGGGGCCCCATGCTGTCATCCCCCCTCGCCCCCAAGCACGTACCGGAAGTCCTCCGAGCCGATGACCTCCGTGTAGTACATGACCTTGCACTTGTGCGAGGACACCTGCAGTGAGGCCAGCACGTCGTCCACTCTTGGCAGGTTGGTGGCGGCACAGGCAGGCATGCTGTGGAAGCGCCACTGCAGGATGTAGAAGCCAGGCCACCGAGTCACGTGTGAGCCCTGCAGGAGACACGGCTGAGTGCCGGGCCTGGGGCCTCTCGCAGAAGCAGTGTCCCTCTGTCCCTAGAGCCAGTGGGGAGCACGCTTGCTCCCCGAGGCTGGGTGCCGCTCTGAGGACCCAGCGAGGACCCGCCAACCTCAGGGGACACATCCCCTCCAGGGACATTCTGGGGGCTCAGGCGAGGAGCACGTGGACAACAGGGCGCCAGTCTGCAGGGCACCTGCGTCCTCATTCTGGCCGTGGAGGCCCTGGGGCAGGTCTGTCTTGAGCCCGATGGTGACCCCTCCAGGCGGGCGCTTCTGGAGCAGCTGCAAGGACCAGCACCAAGCGCTGGGGGCCCGCAGGCACCTCACCTGCACACTCTCGCCCTCTCTGCAGATGAGCGGGGACTCCACCATGCTGTAGTCACGGCCCAGCTGCCAGAGCTTGTCTATGAGCTGCACGTTGTCCCCGCCGGGCGAGCTGATGCTGTGGGCAGCCAGAGAGTCCCGCTTGGGCGGCTGGGGCGACCTCTTGGAGTGGTAGAGATTAAAGACGATGTCCCCTTTGCACACGTCGAAGTCCCAGGTGATGACAGACGAGGCGTCCACAATCTGCACAAGAATCTGGAGACAGGGGCCCGGTCAGCAGGCCAGTGGTCAGTATCCCGCCAGTCAGGCCTTCCATCTGCCCCGTAGCCCTGGCTACCCCTGCTCTGCCCAGTGCCGCCGCCACCCACGTGTGCACACCATCCCTGGAGGCTGCGGGGCTTGGCAGTGCCCTCGAGCCCGGCTCCTGGCAGAGGCAGACCTAAGCTCTCAGTGTCCCCTGCCGGAGGCTCCCAGGGGCCAACGACTGTGCGAGAGGCGTGAGAAAGCTGAGACCCCTCTGACAACGTTCCAGGCGGCTGTCCCTGCTCTGCTGGCCTCGCTCCTCTTCCAGGGGCTACGGGGTCTCATGACAACATGGCTACTCTCTCTGGCCAAGGGACCCCCTGCCGCACCGCCGCGACTTCAGTGCATGCCCGACACCACGTGTGCTCCTTGACCCCCAACCGACACCCTGTGGCGTCAACTCAACTCCAGGCACAGGTCAGATGGGAGAGTTAGAAGCAAGGCTCTGGAAGTCGGACTCCCACCCCTATCCTGCCCCATGTCCCGCCAAAAGTAACAGTGGGGACAGGAGTGTCCCTCCCGCAGTTAAGAGTGAGGAGAGGAGTGTCCCTCCTGCAGTTATAGAGTGGGGACAGGAGTGTCCCACCTGCAGTAAGAGTGTGGGCAGGGTATCTCTCTGGAGTGGCACGGTGGCCCACCGAGGCTCCCTCTGGGATTTATAAATGAGGCACTTATCTTGCCTCTACTTATGTCAACTGTGGCGGCAGTGTCCCCTCTCTCTCAGCCCAGCCACTGGCTCGGCTGTGCCAGGAGTGGGGACCTGGCAGCTGCTGGCTCTCAAGGCAGTAGGTTGAGCACCAGGCAGCCCAGCCAGGCCACATCCTCACTGCAGAAGCACCATCGGCAACAACACCGGGCCATGCCCTACCTCAGGGCCCAGGCGGGCAGCCGGCCGGTCACAGGGACCACTGGGCCTGCTGCCCTCCCTGTGCTTCCTGGGGGCAGAGAGAAGGGCAGGCCCGTAAGCAGAAATAACTAACCCCAAGCCAGGGAAAGGGCTGAGGAGGCTGGCTCAGAGGCCCCTCGGCCCAGCCAGGGCAGATGGGCGGGGGCAGACCCTTGGCGCACAAGGCCCACCGTTCACTACAGGCAGTTCCTAGCCTCGGAGGCATGCAGGGTGTGCAGGCCGCCACGGAGGCAGGCGTACCTCGTGTGGGGCCCCCTTGAAGACGCTGGCCGACTGGTAGATGGTTTCAGTCCAGAGCTTCAGGTCCTCATTCTCCAGCTCCTCGGCGGTCCGGTACAGAGACTTGGGGACCAGCCCGCCCTCTGGCACCTCACACTGGAAATGCAAACAAGCTCGACTCAGTGCCTGGCCGGGGGCAACAGAGGGAGCTGAGCCCAAGACCTGTGCTCTCCCTGCCCGGCCGCACCATGCACTCCCCGCTCAGGAAGTCGGGGATGATCTCCTTGTCGATGTAGTCCAGCAGTCCGCCGGGGCCCTGGTAGTCGTTCCCTGCGTAGATCAGGAACTTCCTCCTGGTGTTGTCGTCGATGAACGGGCTGACCTGGAGCCGGGCAGAGAGACGGCTGAGGGCTGGGGAGGGGTTCCAGGGGCCTCTGGTCCTGGAAGGCATCTCTCCCAGACAGGGGCGGAAGGCTAAGGAGGGCACTCACAACATCCTACCAAAAGCCCATGTGTGCAACAAGAATGCAGAACACGCGGTTTCTGCCACATTTTATCCACCACCACGGAGTCAATGCGACTCACAAACACCCTGCAGGACAGGGGAGAACTGCAGGGAGAAACCTGTGGGTTTCTGAGACCGTAACTCTTGACAGGAGTAGAAAGCCCTGTCTTTCTCCCAAGGAGCTGCTCCTGGTTTTGAACTGCTGACCTCGATGCTAGCAGCCCAGCGTGTAACCACTAGGCCACCAGGGCTCCTCATTGCCGCTAACGTCCTTCCATCTTTACCCAGGTCGCTCTGAGCTGCAGTCCCCTGGGCGGCGGTGCACTGGCAGGCCATGCTTGGGTTTGGTTAAGGTGTGCTGGGGCTGTGCTGCGGAGTTGACCCTACAGGGCGGAGCGGGCCTGCCCTGGGGGTCCCCGAGACGGCTGGCTATGGGCCCGATCCCTAGGGTTATCTCCCAGAGCTGCTGGGGGGCTCAAACTGTCAATCTTTCCTTCATCGCTCAGCGCTTAACCACTGTGCCACCAGGGCCCCTATGGTGACATGCACTCACGGGAAGGTGCGCACTGTCACTACCCACGGTATGGGTACATACCAGGTCCAAGCGGGAGACCCCAGGGAGCACCCAGGGGCATGAATCAGGGTCCAAAACCCAGGGCAGACGGGGAGGGTGGCGGCGTGAGGCCTCAATGGGGTGAGGGATGCCCAGGGGCACGCACCAGGGTCCAGAGCACGGGGCAGACGGGGAGGGTGGTGGCGTGAGGCCTCAATGGGGTGAGGGATGCCCAGGGGCACGCACCAGGGTCCAGAGCACAGGGCAGACGGGGAGGGTGGTGGCGTGAGGCCTCAATGGGGTGAGGGATGCCCAGGGGCACGCACCAGGGTCCAGAGCACAGGGAAGACCCGGGGGGCGCGCAGGATGAGCAGGCGGCCCAGCGTCTCGGGGTAGTTGGCCTCCACCACCTCAATGATACGCAGCAGGGCTTTGACTCCGGGCCGCCACAGGTGGCGCATGTTCAGCCCCTCCAGATCCACCAGGCAGGTCCAGGCGCTGTAGGGGGGTGCGGGCATCACTCAGGGCATGACATGAGGTCGCCTGTGTCCACCTGCCCTCACCATCCACCAGGCCAGTCACTGGGGCTCAGGGCAGCCAACGGCTCCCGGGCAGCCCCAGGGAGGCGCTCGGTGACCCAGCAGTGGGGGAGTGTGCTGTCCTTCCCACTGAGCCGGCCCATCACCACACTGTGTGACTGACTGACACGGTCAAGCCGCGCTGGTCTCTGCTGCCAGAACAGGCTGCCACTGCTGAGACACCCCGACGGAGCCTGGGCTGCAGGTGCTGCCTCCACTTCTCTGTGGAGCCTGGGCCTCAGAGTGGACATGACCCTCCCACTGCTCACCTCCCTGGGCTGCCATTTCTATACCGCCCCGTCAGGAGCCTGGTTCCTCTCTGCTGCGAGTGTATGTGTATGTGCGCGCGTGTGCGTGCACACCCTGCCTAGTCTGCAGGAAACTGCAGCCTGGGCCCCGAGAAGCATGCAGTCAGCTGCATGGGCAGGCCAGTTTTGGGCACTGCGCCCTCCCCCGACTTTCTGGGAAAGGGTCAGGGCAGATCTGGGCCCCTGGCCGGCTCTCCTTGTGGCGGTGGGCAGACTGGACTACCTGATAGGCCGGCCGAAGACTTTGGTGTTCTCCTCACAGCGCCGCAGCCCCTCCTCGTTGACCGAGAGAACCTGGAGGGTGAGCAGACCGCATCAGGCCCCACGGCCACGACCCACCCGCAGCAGCCGCCACAGAGCAGACACCACACAGCACGCTCTCGGGAAAGGAAGTCGGTGTCCCCGCTGCGGAGACCATGAGGGGCGGACACCCTGCTCGCGTCAGGACATGCGGCCAGACCCCTGCAGTGGTGGCCAGCTGGGAGATGGGCAGGCATGATAGAGGCCCTCCCACGCCCAGCATCAGCCTGAGAGGGCACACTCTGCCTGCCAGACGCCTCCTAGCAGGACCCCCGTGTTGCCTTCAAACACTCTTAAATACGTACAGCTGCCCTGCAGCTATGGCCGCAGGATGTTCTGGAGTCGCGTGTGGCGCACGGCACGCATGACCTCAGGTCTGCTTCTGGTGAAGCCGTGAAGCCAGTGAAGCCTGCACCGGGGAATCCCCGAGGGTGGTCCTCACCACGCAGGGCCACCCAGCAGAAGCAGAGGCCCAGGCAACGGCCGCTCCTTACAAAAAAAGACAGCCAGGCCTTTCCTCCACAGAGCGGCTGTGGGCTCAACAGCCAGCCCCTCAGCTCGGCAGCCGAGCGCACCCTACACTTTACCCTGAGGACGGCCAACCCGGGGTCAGCAGACGCTAGAGACAGAGGGGACAGTCCTGCCCCTCACAAGTTAAAGTTAGTCCAGCATTCTTGTAAAACTGAGCTAACAGATGTAAAAATATGTATATTTGCACATTCAAGTGAAACCACCATTATCTAAATCACACCCTGTCTTTAAGACTCTTCCAGTTTTCAGAGCCACGTATCTGGAGTGAAAAAGCTGCATGTGGCCCAAGAGCCACGGTGTGCCGCGCCTGGGCGGGCAGGCAAAGGCTTCTCACTGTGGGGTGTGTGTGGGGGGTGGGGAGGGCGTGTCCAGACACTGTTTTTCTGGAGGAACCAGCTGGCCAAATCCATTGGGAACCTGGCTCAGGGCTCAGCCACTGCGCTGCCATGGCCTCCTTTCCAGGAAGCTGGCCTGGCTATCCTCAGACCAGAAGGGACTCCCGACCCGGAAACGGCGAGGGAAGGTCAGGTCGCTGTGTGACAATAAGAAGTTCAATGAACCAGCAAGATGCGTTGGTCTGAGCTATTGTCCACAGAACAGATGGGCAGAAGGAAGTGTCCGACACTATCAGACCAGCAGAGGGGACACGGCCCCCAGCCTCTGCGGGTCCCATGCTCACTCCGACACTCACAGCGGTGTGCACGAGACACCTGTTCCCACCCTGCACCTCTCCTCCCCATCACCTGGGCCTGCATCCCCCTTCCTGCCTGTGCACACGTCCAGTCCACTCTCAGCAGCTGCTACCGCCCGCAGCGTGGGCACATGCAGCTCTGGACGCCCTGCCCACGGACACTCACAGCGCTCCCCTTTCTGGCACTGACGCTGGTGCTCTTGCGACAAAGATGCTCTGGGGTCGCTGAGGGCTGGGGGTGGGCTGCTAACTGCCACGTCAGCGGTTCAAAACCACCAGGAAAAGGATGTGTCAGAAGGGACTGGAAGCCAGTGGGCTGGTTGGTTGCTCAGGGCAAATGCATGACTTTGACCTCCGCCTGTGCGCCGGGTCACAGCATGGCTGTGGGTGGCTTGGAGCAATGCACTAGGGGCCCGCTGCTCAGTCCGCACAGTCCCGTCATCCTGCCTGCTAACCAGGCTGAGCCCATCTCCTGACAATGGGCCCACCAGGACGTCTTTACCTTAAACAAGGCCAGAGATCCCGTGCACAGCGGACAAACTTGCGCCCACGGGCGTCATTTACGGGGAAACCTTCCATCTGACACAGCCAATCCCTCCTGTCTAAGACTCTCAGCCTCCGGCTCCCAGAGCACGCACCCAGATCCACGGGTCCCCAGGAGGCACTCACGTAGCGCAGCAGGGCCTCCTCGCCGAGCGCACGCACCAGGCCTTTGGTGTCCATCTGTCCCAGACGCAGGACGTACAGGGGACGTCCATCTGCGGGGGGTAGGGTGGTGGTGGGGTGGTGGAGCGAGGGTAGGACGGGAGACAATCAAGTTCAGCAGCAAAGCCAAAACAAAAGCCTCAGGGCCACCAGCTTATGATCCTGAAGTCAAAGCCCCTCCTGCCCTTGGGAGCAGAGCAATGCTCCTGTAAGGGGCTCCCTCCTGCCCTGCCCTGTGGGGGAACCTGTGCCCTGGGGGAAGGGCTTGCAGCCCTGCACTAACCACAGGGTCCTCCTTCCCTGGCCCACTCTATCCAGTCACGCTCTGAACTGGAAAACAGGGTGTGCCTAGGGTGGGGCAGCATCTCCTGCAGTGGTGCAGAGTCTGAGTGTGGTACTGCAGGTGATGGGGGCAGGGAGTCCCGAGCATGCTCACCTTTGTCGTGGTGGTGCCAGCCACCTGCGTAGTAATCCTGCAGGACCTGCGGGGGGTTCCAGGTGTCCAGAATATAGTCTACTTGGTGCTGCTTCCTCCAGGTCAGCGACTGGCACATGACCTCCCTGGCTTTGTCGATGTTGAAATCCCGAGCCCGCAAGAAACGAAGGATGTGCTCGTCTTTGGGGATCTACAGAAAGAGAGGTGCGGCTCGAAGTGCCTCAACGGGGGCCGAACCCCAGCACGGGACCAACTCGGCTGGGCCCAATTCTCTGTGGCTTGGCAGTGAGGTCTTCACCTCCCGCCTCCCCCCAAGGAAGTGATGGGGTGTGATCAGCCTGTCAGTTTTAAGGAGATCGGGGTGGGATGCAGAACCCTTACTCAGGCCACAGCCCTAAGCTGACGTGAGTCCTTGGGGTGCGTCTTACATGAGCTGAGAGGACAGAGCCTGAGAGTGCATTTACAGACGCAGGGACCCTGTGCAGAGAACCTCCTAGACCCGGGGACATCTCCGAGCAACACTGGCCCACAGAGGCTCCAGGGGGCAGAGGTCTCCTCCCTCCAGAGCCGAGAGACAGACAGCCGTCCCCTAGTGCCTGCGCCCTGACCTTGGATTTCAGCCTCCTAACACGTGAGAAGAAACTCGTATGCTAAAACCGTCCATTTGGGGTGGGTCTGTCTCAGCAGCTCTGAGAACCCTACAACGAGGCAGCAGTTTCGGGCTTGGGCAAGCGGTAGGGACTGGGAGTTCTAAGGCACCGGATGGTAAACGCCAAGACTGACTTGCAGAGCCTGCTGGTGGAACTCTGGGCACCAGCTGCAATTCTGGTGAGGGGAGCTGGCACAGGCAGCAAGGACAGGGCTGCAGGGGCAGCACACTGGAGGGAGGCCTCCTGGTAGACTGGGTGCCTCAGGCACTTACGAGCGGAGCTACGGAGCACTGTGACACGGCCGACCTGCCCAAGCAGCCCAAGGAAGCAGGAGGCCAATGCTGAAGAGACAAGGAGCACCGGACGTCAAGGGCAGGCCGCAGCTGCTGGGGACTCAGAGGGCGGGCCCCAGCTCCTAGTTCAGTGTCAGGTCTTCACCAATTCCAGGCAGTGAGGCTGTCGGGGGTTGGGGTAGGGGTGGTGGTGGTGGTGTGTATGTGTGTTCAGAGCTGCTGTCCAAGGCCAAAGGCTTCTAGCCACCATACTCAAGGGGCAGAAGAATGAGGCCTGCAGGGGTCAAGGGGGTGGGGTCCTGAATAGGGCCACCCAAGTAAGAGGGAGCAGAGTTGCTGTCCCAAAGGGCCTGGAAGGTGGAGCAGAAGCCCAGGGTCCAAGGGGCTCCACCTGGAATCCAGAGCACGTGGCCAGTTCTCAAGAAAGAGTAGGCTCTTTTCCAGCCTCCAACGCTCACGTCCTCAGTCCTGCTGGGTTCTAACTCCCCTCTGAAATGGACATGCCTGCCTGGCCTGCCCCACCACTGTGCTGGGGTCTGGAGTCACGCATGAGGAGGAACTAAGTTCCAGGGCGGAGTCTGGACCTGGAGTTAAGGCTTGTGGCTATTATCAAGGGTGAGAGCGTTTGAATGCTAACCTTGAAGGGACAAAGGGTAGGAATGCCATGAATCAAATGGTGCCCCCCCCACCCCCCACCCCTAAATGTGTCAATCTGCTGGGTCACGATCCTGTTACTTAATGTCTCAAGACGGGCTCTGATGTGATCAGCCAAGCGATTGCAGGAGCTGGGGGTGGGATGCAACACCCCGACTCGGCCGCAGCCCTGAGCTGATACTAGGAGGGTTCCCGGGGTGGGGGCGTGCAGGTGGCTTGCCGCACCTTTTATTTGACACAACACAGAAGGACACAGAAGCCAGCAGAGGAGGAGGAAGACTCTGACGACCACGGAGAAAGAAGAGCCAGAGCTCTGGTGTCCTTTGGACCCCGGGCTCCTGTGCTGAGGACCTCCTGGACGCTAGGGAAGGCTGATGCCAAGACGGAGGCCATGGGACTCACCAGGAGACCCCTGCCCACACATGTTGAAAGGAGACCCAGGTAATAGGCAGAGAAAGAAAGCCCGAGGGCTGGCACCCTGAATGCCAACAGTTTGCTCCATCAACCGTGAAGGAGCAAATTTCTGTTTGCTACAGCCCCGCCCCTGTGGCCTGCACTCCTGCCAGCGCAGCCCTGGAGAGCTGATGCCCCACGCAGTCACAAGTTGCTAAGGGGAGAAAATAACAGGTTGCTAAGGAAACGACTTTCCAACTCCCACTTCTTAGCGAGAGTGAGCTGCGCTGTTAAAATGAGCTGCTGCCGGAAAAAACTCCGCTTTACAAAGTCCGCAGTTAGTGCGGACAGTCTTGGAAGCACTGCACTTCTGTCTCGGCGGGGCGAAGGCATCCATTATTTTGTCAGTTCTAACTGTGCCCGAGGGAAGATCTGGGGCACGTCTCTGGGCAGGTGCCAGTCTTGGATTCGGTAGGAATTGAAGGCTGTGTGTGTGCTGTGCCAGTGATGAGGGTGCTGGACGCCTATGGGCCCATCTCCAGACCCCACTACGAGTGGTCAGCAGGCCAGCTTCCCTGAGTCAAAGCCAAAGCCGAGGCTACTGCTGAGGGTCTCCGGAGCAGGAATTGTTCTCTGAGGCCACATGCTCATAAAAGCATGACCCCTGCATGGCCGGTCACCAAGGGCGTCTGCCCACCGCCCACTCCCGGAGGACTCACTCGAAGCCCATGGCCACCAAGGTAGGCACGTCCTCATGTAGAAAGGCCCACGCCGTCCCAGCGCTTGGAGACGCTAGAGGATGGTGGGCTCTGGGCTCCAACCCCGTGCCCCCACCCCCTCACTAGGTGTAGGGACCGCAGGCAGCCCTCTGGGGGTAGGACAGCCAGCAGCAGGCGGCAGCCGCCCGGCCTCGATGAAAGAGCACAGAGACAGGGTTCATCACGAGACCAATATTCCTCTCACAGCTCCAAACCAAAGCCCTGGTGTGTGCGCACCACACGTATGTACTGGGCACATACGTGGCACCTGCTTCTGGAGCGCCTGAGATGTATCTGTAAACGTTACACTTTTCACGGCAGGAGGGAGCGTTCTCGGGCGGGCGAGCTGGGAGGCTAGCACATGCAGACGCAGAGCAGAGCCGTGCTGCTCCCGGCAAACCTGAGACCACAGCTCGTCACCGACAGACGGGCCAGCCCCTAAGCCCACCACAGCGGATCCCATGGCCCGGAAGCTCGCTCAGCCATGGGGACCAGGCAAGGGGGTGGGGATGGGGGTGGAGGGAAGCTGACCTTGCCCTTGTGGGTTTCTTGGAGCCACCGGCGGAGTCGGATGAGGCAGCTCTCCTGCAGGGGCGTCAGGTCGCCCAGGTATCGCTTGATGTAGTCGGCGTCTAGCTTGTCTGGAACAGAAGGCAGGCTGTGCTACGGACCGGACAACCAGGCAGACGCATGGCGAGCGTGCCCACGGCTGGAGGACGAGGAGGCCACACAGCACTGCTTCTGGTCCATCCTCTTCCCCAAGCCCAGCGGTCACCTCCATGGTCCCCGCCCTCAGACGCTGAGCGACAGCCTTCCCTACAGCTAGAGGCAGGCTGGCCCACCATGGGACCCGGGCTCGAGCGGCCTCACTTGGCGGACGATGTGCCGTGTGGCGGGCAAGAACATCAGGACAGGAAGGGGAACTGGAGGCCCGGTCACCCGGAGAAGAAGGACAGAAAGATCATGTGGTGGCTGTAATTGTCTTGTGCTTTCTGGACTTTTTACGAAGGCCATTTCCTTTTAACTAGAAGAGGTGTGTGTGCGTTTGTGTGTACACATTAGGTGTAGACACGCATAGAAAAGAGGCTCACGCACCCGTTTCCTGCCCCAGAGGAACCATGTACACCGTGCTGAGCAGAGGGCCTGCCATGGACCTAGGTGGCTGTCCTGGGGGGCTGCTCCCAGCGACGGCTCGGCCCCCTGCTGGAACCCACCAAAGGGTGCTCACTTGTCAGCCACAAGGTTGGAGGGCCAAGCCCACCCACAGGTGCCTCGGAAGCCAGGCCCAGGTACTGGTACTTCTGAAACACCCGGGAAAGCACAGAGCTGGACACTGACAGGCACGGGGTCATTGAGGGTCAGGGCCCACCACAGAGCGTCCACCCCTGGGACTTGTTCTATGAAGACCTACCGTCAGGGGTCCCCACCACGGGCTCAGTGGGCCCGCTGGCGTTACTGAGGGCCTCGCTGCTCAACGCGTCTGCCAGGGCAGCATCGGGGGCCTTGGTGGCTGTGGACGTTGCCTGCGTCCTGCAGGAGGCAGCGGCCTCGAAGGAGGGGGTGAGGGCGGGCGGGGTCCAGCGGGGCACAAAGGTGATGCCTTCCTCCTCCAGCTGCCGCAGGTAGTACTCGATGATCTCCTTGCCCTGCAGCCAGGACGGGTCAGGGTGAGCCTGTGCCGGCTCGCCCCGTGCCCCACAGGCTTCTCCAGCCCCACTCAGATGGGACCGAGGAAAGCAGGCTGGAATGCCCAGTGCCCACAAGGGCCAAGGGAGTAGCTTTCCCAGGTCCTCAACCAAAGGCACAGGGACCTGGTGGTGGGCGCAGGGCAAGGTCAGCGGCTCACAGCCACAGCAGCCGCTCTTTCTGCAGGAGGAAGATGGCCCTTCTAACCCCCGGAAAGAGACTGGCAGAAGCCCGGCGAAGCAGTTCTACCCTGTCCTGTAGGATTTCGGGGAGCAGCAATCGACTGGCTGGCAGTGAGTCTGTTTTTTAAAGTGAAAATATGGTTCTGCCATTACGTGTGGGTTTATGTCAACGCTCTTTCAAATACCCCGAAACCCAAGCCCCCGGCCATCGAGCCAATCCCCGCTCAACAGGGAGCCCCTCTGTAGGTTCCTGGGACTGGACATCTTTGCAGGAGCCAGTGGCCACCTTCATCCTCTGCCTGCACAGCAGCTGGCAGCTGTGGAGTGCCGCCTTGTGTTCAGCCGAGGCCGCTGTGGCTCTAAAAGCTGTCCCTCCCACCCTGTGCCCTGGGGAGCCAACCCACGAAGGCACTTCCACGGGGAGTCCACGACAGGGACAGACGACAGCTCGGAGGCTGCACGGCAGAGGACATGACCCTCACAGACCAGCCTCACAGCTAGGCCAGGAGCAGGCCTCCTCCGTCCACAGGCCCCACAAGATAGCCAGGCGCTGCCCCTCCCCCAGCAAGTCCAGCACAGAGGGCCCCGGCTCACCATTCCTCGAGCCTTAGAGACCCCGGCCCCTCTCCCAGAGCGTATCCACATGGACTCACTTTTTTGATGTTGCTGGTATACTGCTTCATTGCAATTTTTTCCACTGTGCTTTCAAAGCCAAAGAAAGATTTAATATCCAGGCTCGCAGACTGTTCAAAACAGGTCCAGTCTTCATTGTCGGGGTGAACCTGCGTGAGAGAAAGCAGCCTGTTGACCAGGACGCTGACGAAGGGCACAGAAGATGGTTGACCAGGGTCTTAACCACATGGCCACCCGGAGAGCACGTGCATTTTACTGCCAAAGTGACGGGAGCGGGGACAACTGCAGGAAGAGGGTCCAGTCAGGAGGGGGCAGGGGTTTCTGTGCACAGTGACGGAGGGCAGTCCCTGGGGGCCCGAGGAGACATGGAGGCGCTTGTCACAGTTAGGGCCACCCAAAGAACCACAGCTTTGTCGCAGAGGAGTAGAGCCAGAGTGCTCCTGAGAGGCGAGGGCGGTGGGACTCAGTCTCTGTACTTTGGACGTACTGCCAGACAGACCGTCCCTGGGGAAGGACGCCAAGCTGAGAGAGGGCGGGGAAGCGGGGGGGTGGGGGGGGCCTTACTGGGAGAGACTGACACCGCAGCTACAACCACAGCCTCGGCACAACAAGACAGTGCGGACAGCGCGGGACCCGGTCCTACTTCCTCCCCTTGGACACGGGGCCTGTGAGTTGAACTGACTCGGTGGCCCCAACAGTGCGAGCCGGAGGCCAGGGAGGGCAGCACCACACGTTAATCGGAGAGGTGTCCGCTGGCTCGCTGAGCGGTCTGCTCTGCGGAAGGCGGGCCGGCTGCCCCCCGGGTCACGACGGTCGCGGGCGGGCACTCACGCTGTAGCAGCAGTGCTCCTTGATGATGACCCGGTTCGAGAAGGTCTCGTTGTGGGCCTCGATGTGCAGCGTGCGCTCCCGGGAGCTCAGCGCGTTCTTCTGGACAAAGTAGACGTAATCCACCCCCGCAATCTTGCGGAAAACAGCAATGCAGAGGGAAAGGGCGTGTCAGAAACAGATCAATTCTTC